CGGGCGGGCGGGCGCCCCTGGGTAGGGCTGCGCCCAGCAGTGTGGCCCAGGCGCCCCCCGGCACCCCTCGACCCTGGCCGGGCTGGGGATCTTGGAGGTGTGTCCTGCACGTCCCTTCCAGAGCTCAGGAGCGGGGATTGCGCGGGGCTTCCCCGCTCCACTGCCACCCCCTGCGAGTCCCGGGCCGCTCTGGTGCTCCTGCCCGGCCCCGCCCCTGGCTGCGCTGGGCGAGGGCCGCCGCGCGGAGACCGCTGGCGGGCGGCCCGGGAAGCCTGCGTGGGTCCGGGACGTGCCGCTTGGAGTTTGCGGGCGTCTCGAGGGCCCGCACTCTTCGCCGCCACCGTGCCTCAGTTTCCCAGGAGGGAAGCCAACTCCGTGGACCGTTCGAGGCCACCTCTGCTCGGCCGTGCCAGCCGCGTGGCTTGCCCGAGGTTCACTATTGGAGGTCCAGGGTGTCACCCGTGGGCTGGCTCAACGTCCTCTTTGACAGGTGGGGAGACTAAGACATAGAAGGGGAAGTGTCCAAGATGCCAACGTGGTAGCCCAGGTCCTCTGAAAGGGGGGAAAGGAAAAAAGCACGTTGTTCCCCGGAGCGCGGGCCTTTAAGGTCCTCAGTGCAGCAATGAAAACACGTGTCCTGTTGGCTCGTTATTCATATGGAGGATTTCTGACCCCCAAGTAGATCCACGCGACTCTGGGGGCGCGGGGCCTGACTCCTGGGCGCCCCCGCATGGCCGGGCGCTCCCTGCACCAACTCCGAGGTGACCCTGGAGAGGTTTCATTTCCCCCACAGCAGCCAGAGTGATTTCTAAGGCGAATACCAGACCAGTCACTTCCCTGCTTAAACCCTCGGTGCTCGCCCCGGACTTAGACTGAAATCGGCCCCCTACCACGGCCTTCTTGCCCTGGGGGGCCCTGCCTTCTCCAATGCGATTTGGGGGCCTTCCCTCCCTGTGTTCTGGCTGCAGGAGCCTCCTGGTGTCTGCCCAGAGCCTGCCCTTGAACTTCCTCCGTGGCTCTTCCCATCTCCACCGACATCACCTCCTACTGGAGGCCTTCTTTTTTGGCACCCTCTTTATTTCCTGATCAGTTCTGATCACTATAATTATTTGTCTGTTTACAAGTGGTTTTTTTGGTGGTTGGTTGGTTTTCCACCCCATTAGATCATATCTGTACGCCCAGTGCTTGGTATATAGTAGTACCTAATGGTTGAATAGTGAATCTATCTGCCGAGGTTGTGACAAGGAACAAAAGAAATAACATACATGAAAGTGCTTTGTATTCTGTAAACTCAGTGTGGTTCATGGGCCAGTAGACTAGAATCACCAGGGAGCTTGTTGAAAATGCAGAATCTCACACCCTCACCCCCCACCCTACTGAACCAGAATCGGCATTTTAACAAGATTCCTGTATGGTTTGTTTGACAATAAAGTTTGAGAAGCACTGCTGTAAAGAACTATACTAGAATGCGGTTGTTTTACTTTAAAAAAATCTTTTAATTATTTTTTATTACACGTTATGATAACAACTTTGAACAATACAGAGATGCATGAACTTTTGGCCACAATCCCCTTGTTCAGAGGTAATCTTTATTAAACAGCCCTTAGGTATTCAGTAATACTTGTTAATTAATAACAAGATTTACTCATAAACTGAGTGATTTACTTATGAAATTTCTAGACTGGTGGTTCTCAAAGTCTGGTCCCAGAACCAGCAGCATCAGCATCACCTGGAACTGGTCTAAATTAGTGGTTCCCAAACTTGAACACACATCAGAATGCCTTAGGGAACTTATTAAAACACTGGGTGCTGGGACCCACCCCCAGGACTCATTCAGCAGCTCTAGGGTGGGGCCTAAGAATTCGCATCTCTAACAAGTTCCCAGGTGATGCTGATGCTGCTAGTTCAGGGACCGCACTCGAGAACCACTAGTCTGGAGTCCCAAGTTCTATACTTCCTCAGGGCACTGTGGCAGTACACATAAGGGTGAGGACATCTATCAGCCTGGAAGCTGTGGCCCTCTTTTCCTGACCCCCGAGTACTGGGGATGGAGCTGACGAAGCACTGGGACGAGGCCATCCCTGTGCAGTCTAGCAAGCCTAGAGCCAGCTTCCTGGATGTTCAGTTCTAACAGCTAGGACTCTGATGCAGAAGCCACAGACGCTAGCCAAGGCCTCTTGTAAATCAGTCTTCTCTTTTCATCCTAGCTTGGCAGAGCCACCTTGGCCCATCATCCTTGGTCCTCTCCTGCCTCTCCTCCCATCTTGGCTTGCCTGGAGTGCTCAGAATCTACCTTTCCTCTCCACTCCCACTGCAGCTAGAAGCAGCAGTTCTAGAAGCAGCTGCACCATCTCTACCAACTAGACACATACACCTGAACCCATAATCCGTATACTTCCCAACCAAACTGGCCTAACTTATACCTTTACAAAACAGCCTATAAAGAAGGCATCCCACGAACATCCAACCACATAACAGACCACTGTGAAAGGGTGCTTAAAAATGCTAGACATGGCCAGGAGAGTGCCAGATGTTTTACTGCTGTGTTTAATACTTAAGGGGCAGAGATGCTTTCAAATTCTGTGCCCAGCATTTAGAATCCCAGCCATGATTATTTAATATAGGCTGGTTTTATCTGTTCCATGTGCTGGGAAACAACTGTTGATTAATATCTCAAAAAATGTGTTAATACTGCACATCAGTTGTTTAAAAAGCAAAAATACTGAAGAGCTAAATTTTTTTTTTTTTTTTTTTTTTTTTTTTGTGAGGAGATCAGCCCTGTGCTAACATCCGCCAATCCTCCTCTTTTTTTGCTGTGGAAGACTGACTCTGAGCTAACAACTATTGCCAATCCTCCTCCTTTTTTTCCCCAAAGCCCCAGAAGACAGTTGTATGTCATAGTTGCACATCCTTCTAGTTGCTGTATGTGGGACGCGGCCTCAGCATGGCCAGAGAAGCGGTGCATTGGTGTGCGCCCGGGATCCAAACCCAGGCTGCCAGTAGTGGAGCGCGTGCACTTAACCGTTAAGCCACGGGGTCAGCCCCCTGAAGAGCTAAATATTTTTATCAGTAAGTAGGCAGAGCATGGATGGTTTTGTTTAAGTATTTACCAATAATGTTTTGTTTTGTTTTGTTGAGGGAGAAATGTTCTACGTTCTCTTCTACCAGTAAAGCCATTCCAAGGCAGTGCACATTTCCTGTGGCCCTGCCTGTATAACAGGAGCCATTATCAACACACAGCTTTCCTTTAGTCTTTTTTTTTTTGGTGAGGAAGATCAGCCCTGAGCTAACATCCGATGCCAATCCTCCTCTTTTTCCTGAGGAAGACTGGCCCTGGGCTAACATCTGTGCCCATCTTCCTCTACTTTATATGGGATGTCGCCACAGCATGGCTTGACAAGTGGTGCGTTGGTGCGCACCTGGGATCTGAACCTGCAAACCCCGGGCCACTGAAGCAGAGCTCACGCACTTAACCGCTGCGCCACCGGGCTGGCCCCAGCTTTCCTTTAGTCTTGCAGTCTATTTTCATGTGCGTGTGGATTTAAAAATTGCCTGCCCAAGAACACACTTGTGAAATGTGGAATTTTCAACTTGACTGGCCCAGAATCTCAGTAACATGAGTCAGATCATGTCCCTCCCCAGCTTCAAACCCTCCAGCAGCATCCGGAACCACACTTAGACTTAGAGTAAGACCCTCCCATTTACCCTATGTGATCAGCCCTCTTGCCACCTCTACCGTCTCATTTCCCTCTATCTCCCCTTCTTACTCCACTCCAGCCACACTGCTTCCTTGCTGTTCCTGGCCTTGCCCTTCTCATGCGTTCGTTCATTCACTCACCGAACAAAAGTGACAGGGCACCTGTGATGCCCTGGGCCCTTTTCCAGGTGCTGGGGATGAGGCTGCGAACAAAATAGACAGACATCCCTGTCCTGTTTTGACTTACATTCGGGGGAGGGGGTGGAGGGATGGACAATAAACAAAATAGAGCCCTGCCTTATAGAGTATGTTAGAAAGTGGTGAGAGCTATGGAGAAAAATGAAGCCAGGAGGAGGACATAAGGAGGGAGTGCAATTTAAATACAATGGTCAGAGAAGGTCTCACTAAGAAAGTGACAGCTGAGAAGACTTGAAGAGCAAATGAAAGGACAGATGTTGGTGACAGCCATCTAATCAACTCTTTCCAGGAGTTTTGTTGGCTAAAGTGGAATGGAGGGAAAAGTGCCATCAAGAGAGGGATTTTAGATGTTTTTAAAATGCGGGAGATGGTACAGTGTGCTTCCACGCTGATGGGAATGATCCAGGGAGGTGGGAGTTGGGGAGAGGGGAATTGCTAATGTAGGAGAGAGAGAACAGAGTTTTGAGAGTGGCACACCTGAGGAGCAGAGAAGGGCTGGGCTCCATGGCACATTCCATCCATAGGGAGGAAGGATTTGGGCAAAAATCAGGGAGGTAAGTACATA